GGGGCTCCGGTTTCGTTTCCTTTTTCCTGATCACGATTCAAATACAATAGAAGGAAATCACACTTAAAGAGACAGCTGCCCATTTCTTAACTGGACTCCTGGGGATTTAGCAATACAAACAGCAGCATCACGACTCGCTCGGGTTTCTTAAAGAGACAGAGCCGGGGCTCCCCAGAGCCGGGGCTGGGAGCTGGCGGTGCGTTTTCACGTTGCAGTGGCATTTAATAACACTTTCTTGGTGTACGGGAGGTGCTCAGGTAGGTAGGCGACCTCAAAATGATCCCAAGGGCTGGCAGAAAATAAGCCCCTCGTTCCCTGTTACCACCTTGTTTCTCAGCTCCACAGAGGACCAAAGCGACAGTCACCATCTCTCTCCTCTCCTTCTCTCATGTATATATATACACACATGTCCCCATACATGCGTATTTTTGTACCGTACTTTGAGATCCTCAGGTAAAGAACCTAAGTATTCTTCTACCGAGGAGTCAAACTGGTCAACTAAATTGTGTCTCCTGTGTCTCCCCCAGCGAACATTCACGGGTTTCTGCTTCCAGACATCCCCTCGTTCTTGGCAACCAATATAACAAATTTATATCTTGACACCGCCTGATGTTAATGAGCTATAAAAGCCAGAGAGCACGAAGTATCGATCTGTAATTAATCACAGAGAAGCTTAAGATGGGAAAACCTTGCCTGAATCTCTCCATTTCCCTTCCCACCCTTCCTCCTCTCCATCAGCACAGCACATCCCGGAAAGGACTGATTTACAGGGCCATGGTGAGAACTGTGACAGCAATTAGAGCGTTCCCCAGTCTGTGGCATTAGATACTGGCCGCTGCTGGAGGCGGAGTGTTGGATGAGATGAACTACTCACCCTATTAATTCCTTTAAAAACAGTAACAAAATATCTGTAATAAAGCACTAGTGAATAGTAGCAGAAACACTTCACTTCTGTATTAAAGCCCAGGAGAGGAATGTATTTGATGTCTATTTTATGACTACATTCTAATTTTTTCAGCTTTTTTTGGCAGCTAGGGATATAATATCTGCAATACATTAATGAGCCGGATTCAAAGATCAGTAATGTCAGCAGAAGGACTGTTCTTCATTTCAAGGGGCTTTGAACCAAGCTCTTGCAACACTCTAGAGCCGTCACTGGTCATTAGAACACATCTTTCTTATTCTTTAAAAACATTATTGCTGACGTATTTTAAGCTATTACAGTATGACAGTGGCTCTTTTTTCTGTTAAAGGAAAAGGCTCTTTTGTTAGTTGCTCACAGACAGGGCTGAATTATATGATGACTATTTAATTTCTGATGTATTTACACCATGATCAGAAAAAGTAAAATGTAAACCTTTCCAGGAGACTGAATAATTAAACTACTACAAGATACCCTCAGCCCACAAAAAATCTGCTAGGAACTTTATTATTTTGGTTTAAAAATATCAGAAATTGAATTTAAAAGTGGATCAAAAACATGCACAAGGACTTCAAACATGTTGGGAAAAAAAAAAAAGACATTTCTATGAGCTTGGTTTCTCCTGGCTCTGTGCCTCGAGGTTCAGTGAAGTATAAATTCTGAGTCAAAATTGCCCTTATGATTGGGGTATTCGTATTCTGAATAACTCCTGATGGAATAACGTGAACGACTCCATAATGCCAGGTAGATTTTCTGGTTTCAGATGACACAGTTGTGTATACGCTACAGACACACTGGCATGCTGCCTCTCTTCTATTTATTTTGCTAAGATTTACAGGAAATTAGTATCTTTAAGACCCCTGTCCCTTTGTCCATCTAAAACAGATCAGCTGGCTCAAAAGTTTGAGTGAGGGTACATAAGGAACTACTTAATTCCTTAGAAAAACAACACAAAAATAAGGACTTATAATATACAGTGATCAGTGGTTATTGGAAAGCATCATTTTTCAAGCTCTTGCAACACTTGTATTCCTCGCATTGGTCAGGCTACCTCAGGTCAAGCAGATCACCTCCCTGAAGCCGATGAGACATTTCTCATATTCCTAGTTGAGCACATCCATTGCTGGACAGACAAAGAACCTGCAGGAAGCTTTTCTACATAAAAGCAGTGGAACAGCGTGCAATAAAAAAGCTGAAGAGGACAATTTGTATGTGTTTTATTGTCATCCTTTTCAGCCAGATTCAGAACAAACTTTCCTAGAAAAAGTCAGGTCTTTAAGCATGGCACTTGTGATAGAGCTGGGACCACTCCGTGATCCTGCAGACCCCATCCATCTCCTCGTCTGAAATCATTGCAGTTAAAACAGCCAGATTATTTCTTGTTTTCTCTCTGTCCTGTGAAGGAGAGATGCTAGGCCAAGTCGTGAGCTAAGAAAAGTGAAAAAAAGCAGTCAATTTGCTGGTATATAACGTAATAAATATGTTGCTTCACCGTGCTTAACGGGACAGTGCTCGAGCTCGATCTGCTTAGACAAAACGTGATCAGAAAATGCTGTGTGAGAATTAAATTTGTCAGGGTATCTTGAACAAACCATAGAGCAAAGACACCAAGCAACACCGTGCATCAGATGGGCTTTCACACTAAACCAAAACCGGGCTTTGCAGGCACTGGTGTGGCAGGAGGTGAAGAGAAGCTGCTGAGAAGCGGTGGCCTGGCCTGATGGGTATCTACCACGCTGCTAGGGGTGGGGGGTTGCCCCTGTGATGTTTCTGGAAGCACCTTTTCTTCACATTTCTGTGCTGGCATTTGGTGGTAGTTCCCCCTGGGTTCACAGCAAAAAGCCCAGCAAGAAGGTCCTCAGCATACTGACGAAGAGCTGCATCTTCTAACACCTTTGAGGAACGAAGACTTATACTTTTCTAGGACAAATCAATTTTCCTTTATTGGGTTTACATATCATAAACTCTCGCTTTGGACAGTGACATTTGGCATTTCCAGCTGAGGACTCTCATGTCCCACCAGAACAGACGACTAGTAACCAAGAGCGACTTCTTTTTCTCATCTCGAGCAAGTCTCTCAATACCTCTTTGCCCCCATTTTCCCATCTGCAAATGTTTACTTCCCTCAGCAGAACTGGCTGTTGATTTATTTTTGCCTCCCACTGAAGAACGTTCCCAAAGACAAAGCGTTATTCAGCGCTAGAATCGGTGGTGCCGACATTTCCTGCACAGGGACAAAAAGACCAGTGCTATTTTTAGTGAGGGCTTCTCTTTCCATTGTCCCTTTCTCTGTGAAGCTGTGTTTTTCAGGGCTTTTTAGTGCAGCTTTTTTTGTGTTCCGTCGATTGAAAATCCTGAGGCAGGAGTTTTGGTTTCAATTTACTTTTATTAATATAGATCACGCTATAGACTAATTCTTAGAGCGTGGCTGAGATCAAATCCGCTGTTATTAACTGCATTTAGTGTTTGGAATAGCATGCCATGAATAAGCTGGCTGGACTTCTCTAGATATCTCTCAACAAGAACATTTGATGTAAAACTGCATCGTTTCTGTGAGTTGTGTCATCTAAAAAAATAGCTCAGCATGCCCGTTTCAAAGAAACATCCCCTCTCAGACTCAGGGAGTATTTTCATCTTGGTTTTGGAGCTCTGCTCCTTCAAGACCACGGGATCATCATCATCACCACTCAGTTTCAGATTGCTCCTACCTTTATTTCTTTAATATATGCTAGCTTTATTCCTCCTAGAGCTTATGGATACTATTGAACTATTTCAGGTCACCCTCATTTAGAGAAGCCTGTGTTCAGTCAGATTAACTTTGCTGCCCTCAATAGCCGGTAACGCTGGTTGCCTAAAATGCAATTTATGAAGACTGAAGTCTCTGCACAGATACAAGAATTCAGTCTCAGTGACAGTGGCCGAGATTTTCTATTAACGCTTTCTGTGGGATAGAAAAGTCAAGAGCGTGAGTAAAGGTGAATGATTAACATGAAAGGTGGCAGAGAAAGAGGAACAAGGATTTCTGTGATTTGGGCTGTGTTCTGCCACTGACTCACTGTTTGGTGTTAGAATAAATCATTGCTCCACTCCTTGCCTCAGTTTACCTATTTGCAAATTGGAAGAATCCTCCTCCTTCCCACCACGTACTGGACTGAAGATCTGAAGATTTGATTGATCACTGATCCAGACCTTCGGATCACGCCCTAAAGACATGGAAATTTTGGGTTGGTTTGGGGTTTTTGAACACAGCTTTGACACCACAGAACAAGTTGGGATCTTGGTCTCTGTCAAAGAACACTGAATACTTGAGGATGACTATCAACCAGCTACTGCTTAGGACATTTGACTGTGCCGCTGGAGAATCAATGCCATATCAATAGTTGCTCGTATTGCCACTGTGTAGTATTAACCGCATGAAAGGCTCCACGTAATTAAAAATATGTATTTACTGCCTTTTCATGGATCTGGAAATGTCTTTTTTCACCAGCAATTTCTGTTCTGGTCTGTGCAGTCTCTACAAGTTCTGGTTTTGGGGGGGTTTTCACATCAAAAACTCCAGATCATTCTCCTAGCTAGCATTTTTTCTAACTTTCCTGAGGACAGAAGTGGTGATACCCAGGATAAGGAGTTTTCCTTGAGTAATGACCACATGCACTAACTTTGATGTACTTTGGAGGCTTTTGGTATAGTGTGATTCAGAGGACTTAAAGACTCCTGACCAAGGGCACGCTTCTCCTTTTGGGGGTTAACCTTTCCTTTGAACTGGAAGAAAACAAACCAGAACAATAAAAACCACACTCAGGGTGAGGTTTGCCCGGGGACTGTGAGGTCCAGACGTTAGATAAGAAGCCTGGCACATACAGAAGTTTGAGCAGTTGCAAAGTTTTGGGTTGTTTTGCCTTATTTTCTTCAACAAGCAACAAAGATGAAAAAACAACCAAACCCAAACCCAACCCAGCTCTGTGTTTGCAGCTGAGAGAAAGCCTCGACTGCAGGTCACACCGCGGATGATGAAAAGTAAAGTTACAGGCAGGCAGATGAAAGGATAGTTCACTGCACAAATGTGAAAGGTTCCCCCTCCCCATTTCCTCTCTCTTCTTTTATTGATTTCTCTTGCTCCCATCAAGCCCTTGCTGCCTGGCACGCAAGCCAGATCCAATTACCCTGGCACGGTTTTCACAAGGCTGCTGCTCTGCAGTACAGTCCTTTCAAGTAATTTCGCCTTTTTCCACGGTAAGTACTCTTTCCTATGCTTAGGCGTGGGAATCACCCCAGTAAGGCACTGGGGATAGTGTTTATTTTGTATTAAACATCTCATCCCAACCCAGACACATCAGAGGAGAGACACACAGGAATCTAAATGGGCTTTGAGTTGGACCCGCAAATACTTTTAGTTTGGAAAATAACCGGTGACTGGGGAAGCAATTCCCTCAGGGAAAATGTCGGAGGGGGTCATAGACCAACCAGAAACTGCAGCTCAGGCTCCCCTGTTTATATATGCATACACACATATGTATAGATATATTTATCTGTTTATGTATTTATACATATACACACCTTTGTGCGTGCGTGTCTATGTAATGTGTATGTAATTATACATTTGTGCATGTGTGCACGCATTTGTAAAGACACAGAGACACATACAGACTCGTAAGCCATGTAGTTTCATATTTTGCTGCCTTCCGTGCTGTTTCCCAAACAAAACTCACTTTTCAGATTACCGCCGGCTCTAGCCGCCGCACTGTTTCATGTTACCGTCTGCGAGAGTCGCCAGGTGGATGTGGTAACCTCGATGCTAGCTGGCAGTACACCAGAAAGTCTATCATAATTCCAGGAATACATCGGTCCTCTTGTTCCCCTATATAACGTTGTTATTTCTGCTTTTAATTCCTTCTGGGGCTTTAACATGCAATAAAGCAATCTTCCCAAATTAAATGTAATAGGAGGCAGCTCTAACGAGGAAGTCTGGCGTCACGCAACTCACATTGACCATCCTGGTGCCACCAAGGAGGCAGAGTGGTCTGATGGGCAGCAGGCAGCAGATAGGAGAGATGAGTTTTGCTTCCCGCTCTGCCATCACGTAGAGAACTCCCTTGGGCAAGACTTTGTACCTCGGCTTCTCTGTTCCTGGCTGCGCCCTCCTTCTCCAGCCTCTGAACTTCATCCAGGCAAATCACCGTGTCTGGTATTTCTGGATGTACCATTGGCTGACCATGGAAACAGTGAGACCTCCTGCTGAGTGGCTGTCCCATCCCAAAGCACACACATACCCCCAAAAATACACAGTCTGGGGACTGTGTGATGTGCTTACACTTTGTGTGCAAGTACCACGGACCTATGGAAAAAAATGGCCACAAACAGCTCAGTTCAGTATTGTTACACCAGCTCAAATGAAAATCACAGCGTAGAGGAGTCGCGTTCACCTCTTCATTTCAGAAGCTGGAGCTCAGCTTCAAATCTCATCACTTGTTTTCCCATGTTCCCTGTAGGAGTTCATCTAACGTGTTTCAGACTTTGAGTCTGTCCAAGCTCCATCCACAGACCAGCGTGCTGGACCGCTTCGTATTCACTAATTCACCCTACTTCGCTGGCCCACAGAAATTTCCTCACTTGGGAAAGTCCAATGCATCCTTTAAATGGCTTCTCTTTTTTCCTACATAACAAGGCTCTGTTGCAGGCACACCAGCCACCTAATTATTAACCCTGTCCTTGGGAAAAAGAGAGGCAGAGTGCATTTAATAACAATCCCAGTGAGCTGAGGCGGCTTGACAATTACGTTGCATAATGTAGTCATGAGGAGAGGGTTACCAGGGAGATAATGGTAAACATCAGCCTTAATTCTGCCTGGAAAATAATTGGAGTGATCTCCCTTTGTGGTTGGGGTAGAGGAGAAAATTGGATGGGTACATTTCCAGGCACCGCAGATGTTAGCAAAACATGCTGCACTCCACCGTTGACCAAATCATTAGCTACCTCTAAATGCTATGGGCAGGAATTGTCTGGCTGCCTCTCCATGCACGCAAGTCAGTGGGCAGGCGCCATTTAAATGAGAAAACAGCGTTGGTCGCAGCACAACTGGTATCTTTTGGTTCTGTTTCTACATCTCCTGTTTGCAGTGGCCCTATCAAACTCTTCTGTTTCTCAGAATATTCATCAATCCTGACACATTTTTGAAATATATAGCCCTTACAGCCCTTTGTGACCTTGTCCATGAGGGCTGAAATTATCCCGGTGCAATCTTTCTGCCTTCACTGGGTTGCAGCCTGCGACCCATGGGGGAATCTCCTGCCTTCATGCTCTCTGCACCAGCCACAGCTCTGAGGCACCTGGCTCAGCTCTGGAGCACCTCCACGGCTACTAGCAGAGCCATCTCCTTGCGTCTGGCAGGACGTGGAGACATCATGTGCATGGCAAAGGAGGAGAGCTGGGATGCTAAGAGGCTTGTTGGACGAATATTCGGTCCTCTCCCACCCCATCTGGTCACCACCACCCGTCGCTGATTTTTGCTTCTCTGCAGTTACCGACAGCAGCTCCGTATGAACTTGGTGTCACAGGAAGCACGGCCAGGGCCACTCTCAGTTTGGAAACACGCCCAGAAGAAGAACAATACACATTTGCTCTGGAGTGCACCCTTCCCTGGAGCTCTTCCTTCTAATTTCTTAGCCCCTTTTGGGACCTTCAGACTCCTTTGCTGATGTCATCTACTCAAATTATCACCATGAAGCTGCGGCTTCTCTTCCTGGTCAGCAGGAGCCCCCACCTGAGGCCGGGTGCCTCTCATCCTGCCTGTGCTACAACTCTCTCTCCAGATATTTGAGGCAGTGAGTTCTTCAGCAATTGTTGATATTTAGAGCAAGCATTTAATTCCACAACCACAGGGCCTGAGCGTTTTCAGATTAAACTGTGGTTTCAATTCCCCCTTGGCTCAGTTGTAGAGTTAACCAAGCACAGTGACACGTAGGTGCAGCAGCTAGGTGCACGTCACATATGTGTCATCTGGCCTTGACTGACTCGGTCACTCCGACCACTTCCATTAAGGTCTCAGGGTGGAATTATTCAGCATCTCCTGTTAATATTTCAGTGAAGGCAGTATTAGCAAGTTGCCTGTGTTTTCTAGTGTGAAGTTTCTGTCAGCTCTGCTGCTGCTTTGTCGTGTCTTTGGAGAAGTAGGGGCCCATCCAGGAGGTTGATCTAGGTGGCTGGATCCCAGCAATGCCGCAGGTAGCATTGGGAGTGCTGGTGGTTATGTGGTACGGAGTGAGAGAACTGGAGGACCAGTGGACAAACCCTTGGTGGGTATATGCTTTCCAGCGCTTGCAGCTCTTGCATCTCCCATCTTCTAGGCAACTTGTGAGCTCGAGTCCCATTGCCAGGACACAAAGACCCCTTTTTGGCAGAGCAACCAGGCCATCCACTTCCAATTGCTTCTGGTTCCAATTGAACAACTTCTTCTCTACTGTAGCTTTCCACTAGCTGCTGGTAACCCCAGCACGACCAAGCTCTGCTGGCTGCAAAGCCCAAGCCCTGCTTGGACAGCATCCAGCACTGCGGTACCGCCGTACTCTCCCTCTCCATTCCTCAACAGATCTCTCTTGGTGTCAAGCCACACTTGTTGGCACAAACACATTCTTTAGAGCTGCTTTCTGCTACCCAATTAGAAGACTGTCAGCGACAAGGCCATCATTCCTCCTGCAGCTTCTGACAAGCCTGGACACCGCTACACTGCTGCAGAAGATTAAAGGAGTCTTGCCTTTGTGTTACCCGCCGGCTGTGTGCTAGCCAGAAGCTAATTCCCCTTCCCAAGGAATGTGTATGTGGAACAACTAATAGGCTCTGTAAGCCTGTCTTCATTCGTTATTAAAAGGAACACAGTCTCTAAAGAACAGAGCTGCCTAATACACATTTCTCCCCCCGTTTCCCCTTTCACCGAGCCTGGAGAGAGTTGCAGTTCCTGAGAATTAGAGACTTCAGGGGGTGGAGGTGCTTTCTGGTAGTTACGACAGGGCTGAGCATCAGGAATCCCAGATTCTTTTTAATGATTCATTTAGAAGCAAAGACGACTGCGTTCGCTCTCCAGCGATTGCTTTCTGCACTGCGCGTCCCCTGAAACTGAGTCACGGATGAGCGTGCGATGCTTTTACCTCTAGATTGCTGGCTCAGATCGGCTCGAGGCTGGTAGCAACCGAAACTCCTTGTGCTCTGAAGTCTCTCTGGCAGCCAGTGCGAAAGGAGTTGAGCGACAATCCCGTACATTAACTTTACCACCAAGCATAAAGATTACTGGGTAGTATGAAAGAAATGTTGCTTTAATCTCCTGCGGCAGTACAGAGGTGCTGGGATTTGTCAGGTGCTGGCAGCAGGAGTGATGGTCTGGGGGGGGACCAGATCTCAACAGCATCCCAGGGTGCAGCTGAGACCGCACTTGGCCCATTAACTCCCAAATTCTGGCTGCGTTACGCGGTAAACCAGACTGATGGAATACGTAGAGCTGAAACACAACTAGAATAATTGATTGCCTATAAATTCCATCTAACGCCCCAAGAATTGGAAGCAGCCTGGGCAGACTACTTAAAGCTTGTAAATTCACTTCATGTTAGATAAAGTGTACCTGCTTCCACTGGTGTAAACCTGGAGTAATTCCACTGAAGTATAGGAAATGTAAGGTCAGTGGAGTTGACTAGCATTAAACTAGCATCGTTGAGAATCATTTTTTAGCTATAAAGAATGACAGATGAATGTCCTTTGAATTCCTGACCCCGCTAGGAAAATGAACTACAAGATGCGGAAGCTTTTTGAAACCGATAGAAATGTCGCCGTCTCAGATCTCTCTCCGTTAATCAAAACAAGGCACTGTAATCAGCTCCGATTCTAGGTCTATCTGTAAGGAACAAAGCGAACTTCGAAAATTAAATCATTTAACACATTATTTCCTTCCTCATTTCGGCGCCGATTGAGCTGATTGCACAATTTCTGCCACCGCCCTGCAGCTGAGCTGTCCCACGGCCCGCGAGGGCTCTGGGTGCAGGGCAGGAAGGTCCCCAGCGTTCCTGTTTACTGCAAGGATCGCTGCTTTGGGAGATTCCTCTTTAGGCTCAGACGTTTCTTCACTGCCTTCCTGACGTCTGATTTCCTATTTCCTTTACTACCCGCCGAGTAGGAAGCTTGGAGCAGAGCTAAACGGGGAATATTTGCCTGTGCTATTCCACCACACCAGCAAAATACTGATTTTGTAACTGTAGCTTAAACCTTCGGCATCTTCTGGAGGAGTTTCTTCCAGCCTTGCTTGGGTGAAACAAGCTCCGCTGGCAAAAGTGCCATTTTGCTAGGACGAATTATTCTGTGCTAGTAGCTTTTGCCAACACTGCTGTGTCGATCGGGCATCATTTCTGCCTCCAATTCTGCCTGAGCCAGCCAAAGTTTGTATTCTAGGCTGTAACTGCTAAACCCTCTTTTATAGATTTAAGGTTTTTCAGATTTTAGATTTTATTGATTTACAGTTTCCACCTAGGAAGATTTTTATGAATAGCAATTATTCATGGAATAATCAAAAGATATAGTGGTTATTCTGTGCAACAGGAAATATAATGATTACATAGCCGGCGGCCTGGGCAGAGGAAAAATATTTCTAAGGTGAGAGAACTCCCCTAATATCTCAATGACGGTTATGAACAATATGATAGTTTGCAATCTCAGCATTGTTTTCTGTGTTTTCTTCCCACCACCCAGTAGGTGTCGTAGAATTAATGGCCGTTTCAGTCCTTATTTAGCCATGGCAAAGGCATCATTTTAATTTGGAAGCTGGAATTGGCTTTGCTCTCTTAGGAGAGCGTCCGCTGAGATCA